CCTCCGAAGCCGTACAGAGTGCGGCCCTGCCTCTTCAGAGCATACACCACATCCATGGCGGTCACAGTCTTCCTCTTGGCGTGCTCGGTGTAGGTGACGGCATCACGGATGACATTCTCCAGGAACACCTTCAACACACCGCGGGTCTCCTCGTAGATCAGACCGGAGATACGCTTCACTCCACCACGGCGAGCCAGACGGCGGATGGCGGGTTTGGTGATTCCCTGGATGTTATCACGGAGAACTTTGCGGTGACGCTTAGCGCCTCCTTTACCGAGTCCTTTTCCTCCCTTGCCGCGACCACTCATTCTGTCCGAATCTAGTTTGAACCGAAGCAAAACTAAAAGGTTGGTCGTTGTGAACGTGGGTAAATAAATCCTTGCTGCGGACGTAGTTGAGCTCTGCTGGGCGGAGACATTTGTTCTAACAATAGAAACTAGGACACTGATGAACCCTTCACCTTCACAGTACTTTTGTTTTGTCTTGTCTCTTTTTTATGAGAATAATTAGAATTAGAATTGTTGGTTCCTAAAAACTCCCTTGCAGCTTCTTGTTGTCTCTTTTGTTTGAAATACTGTTATTCGTATGTTTTATTTATATTTATTTTAGGAACTAAAAAGAATAACTGAGTGACTTGAGAAGAGTCTTGAATTTTATGACAGAAGCTAAAAAGTCACTAAAATTCATTGATTTAAATAACGTGTTCTTGTAAGTAAAAAGTTGCATTAGAAGAACAATTTCAATGAGATTCAAGAGCGCTTTTCTCTGGATTATCATAATAAATAATGTCGCTGAGGTCAAAGGAGAAATACTTTCTATATTATTTTTACAAAAGGAGCAGGAGGCATTATGGTCTGTAAATTTAGCAATATGGTAACTGGCAGGGTAGGTTTTGTGCGAAATTCTGAGGTGTACGTCTTTAGCCTCATTTAAGATGCATTACTCATAAGGTAACAGCCGAGGTCCTCTCCAGTTTATGTTCTTTATTTCAGACCTTCAGAAAAATTTGTCTTTTGGTGCAGTTTCATCCTTTCATGTCAGTAAAGGGCGTGTTATATTAATCTCATCATTTTAGATTGTTTTTTCATAAGTTGAGTGAACACATTTAGAAAAGCATGAGTCAAAAAAATGAATTATCTGAAAGGAACTGGAAAAACTGTGAATAGACATAAACTGTTCATTGTTCATGCCAAATTCATCAAAGAAATAATTTATCTCTTTGGAACCATGTACGAAAGGATAAATATTTGTTTCTGATAAGTTTATCACAGTTGTTCCACAGAGAAGTTTTATGAGACGCCCAACTTTTGTCTTATCCATCTGTCTGATGTAAGAATTGTGTCACAATAAAACACTGATGATGCTCCTTAGTTGCTAAACAGCATTTTTGTTTTGTATCAAACCTCCATTACAGTCATGGCAGGATATGTAACTGTACATTTAATCTGAGGCTTTATATCCTTAAAGTCAACTGTATTACTTTGTACATGACCTTTTTGGCTGCTGTATCAGTTTCATTCACTCATTAATCATTCTATCACCTCAGTTATAGTAGACTAAATATATACTAAATTTAAAAGTCACCTTCATCTCTCATACCTGACAACCACCAATCCAGAAATTGTGAGATTTTGGAAAATAAGGACTGAATTTACCATTAAATGATTCAACTAAACCTAAATATAATATATTCTAATGTTCACATGATCAAACACTACAATGGTTAAGTTGTGTTTAAATTTGTGGGATTTGTCTCAAGATAAGATGTATTATTAAGCTTTATTTTTGTTGTACAGGCAAGGACAACAAAACACAGTTCTATCTTTGGTTTTGTTGATGGGCAAAATAATCTGTCAATAAGTTATAGAAAATAGTATTGGGTCTGTAAACCAAATGCATTGAGATGGATATATAGAATATGTGCTGCTTACTGTAGTAGCCTACTTGTGATTCTCCAGTAAAAAAATGTGTGTAACTCAAGTCGACATTTAAAATCATATTTGGCATGTTTATACACAAAATTGGCCTGGTGGAAGAATATCACAGGATTGAGCTTCAGACAAAGTGGGTGGCTCTTAAAAGAGCCGTTGGATTGTTTATAAAGGCAGTAGACTGTTTACTTGGAGCTGGTGTACTTGGTGACGGCCTTGGTGCCCTCAGACACGGCGTGCTTGGCCAGTTCACCGGGCAACAGCAGGCGGACGGCGGTCTGGATCTCCCTGGAAGTGATGGTGGAGCGCTTGTTGTAGTGAGCCAGACGGGAGGCCTCACCGGCGATGCGTTCAAAGATGTCGCTCACAAACGAGTTCATGATGCCCATAGCCTTGGACGAGATGCCGGTGTCGGGGTGGACCTGCTTCAGCACCTTGTACACGTAGATGGCGTAGCTCTCCCTCCTGGTCCTCCTCTTTTTCTTGCCGGTCTTACTGACGCTCTTAGACACGGCTTTCTTTGAGCCCTTCTTGGGCGCTTTCACGGTGGTTTCAGGCATCTTGCTCAACTGGGATGTTTCAGAATGTGGATGACTCATTTAATGACAGAACGGTCTATTTGTATCCCCCTGATGCAAATATTACTGTGCTGTTGCTCGCACAGGATTGGTTTTCTTCTGAGTGGGACTGAGCATGCGCCAAACGAAAAAGCGACTCTCATCAGATGTATTTACCATAGAGATGTATACGTAGATGCCGCATTCAGCGGCGCTCCTCATTGGAGCGATACGTCAACGCGGCCGCCATCTTGCCCAGGTGGAGCCGCGCTGCCTAGTGCATGTATGTCTATTGAGGCAGGAGACTATTTATGATTAAAATCATCATTACTCGCTGAATTCTCAACCGATTTTCATGCGGTTTGGTTTGTTACAATCGGCAGACATGTAGTTATGATACAGGATACTTGGTTAAATAAAAATGCAGCTTTTCATACCAAAATATTTGATCTTATGTAGATAAAGTAATAGTAATTGTTCTACAACACATTTAAACTAAACTTTTTTCTTACTAGATGTACAATGCCCACCATGATGTCATTTAATTATTAGTTTTGATTATAAATGTTTATTTACATTTTA